ATGGAGACAAGTCTGCTAACATTGAAGAATACCCTTATAGCACCTTAATACCGTGGAAACATTCACATAAATTTCTTTCCTCGTCTTTGGATAATGTGTGCAATGCTGGTGGCAAATAACTCTCTTACCCTCTTCTCTTTGTGCGTGCAAGCTTTTTCTTATTCCTATTTCAGCTAAGTCCAGTCTGGCATTTATTCCATCCTTAGCCTTCCCACTTATGTGTAAGAGCATACCAATAAGACTATCACATATATTTTTCTCAACATATATCACATCTAGACTCTGCGAAGTGAGAAAAAAATAAGACTTTTAGTAAGACCTCTTTTTTGTCCACAAATTCTTCTCACTTGTATTTTTTATACTACTGAAAGTAACATTCATTCTTTCTACACGTTGATAAACTTGCTATCCAATCAAGGCCCTAGGAGCCATTTTATACTCATGGAGCCATTAAAAGCCTTCTTCAACCTACGGTAAGGATGATATCGATCAAGAAATCTTTGATGACCAAGGTAGACTGTTATTCTTTCATACTTAAGTTGGTAATAATTTGTGCCTTCTTCACATATAAGACATGCATTGTGCCCTTTAATACTATATCTTGACAAGTTTTCATATGCAGTAAAATTATTTATTATAGTGAAAATCATGGCACGCAACTTGAAATGTTCTTGCTTATAAGCATCAAATACCTCAAACACCTTCCTCCCATAGCATTTTTAAGTCTTTGATCAAAGGTGCTAGGTAGATATCGATATCATTTTTTGGGCTGTTTCGGTCCCAAAACCATCAAAGACAACATTATGTACTTGCGCTTCATACACAACCAAGGAGTTAGGTTATCAATAACCAATAAGAGTGGCCATGCACTACGTGTGCTCCTAAGATTACCATATGGGTTGATTCCATTCGTACAGAGTCTAAGTCAAAGGTTTCTTGGATCCCTACCAAATTCAGGGAACAGGTGATCTATTGTCTTCCATTATGGAGAATCAACTGGGTGTTGAAGCTTTCTATCAGATATCTTCTCATCAAAATGCCATCTTAAATTCTTTGCTTCTGTTGGATTGGCAAACAAACATTGAAACCATGGTATTATTAGAAGACACCATAATACCTTTATAAGAGGACCTTTAATTATGATCTTATGATTACCATCAATACTATCAGCACCATCATCTTTCTTCACTTTATAGCGTGAGGTCCCACATTTTGGACACTTGTATAGCTCTTAATTACTCATTTCTATATAGTATGCAGTCGTTAGTACAAGCATGTATCCTTTTATAATCCATACCCATCAGTGACAAGATTTTCTTTGCCTTATGCATACGTTTTAGAAGCAAATTATTGGCTGGAAGCATTTTACTCAAGAACTCAAGTAACTCTATAAAACTTGAGTTGGTCCACCTGCTTCTTGACTTTAAGTTAACCAATCCTAACATAGCTGTCAAGAGTGTAAAATTAGTACACCCTGGGTACAACAGTTTCTTTGCATCACTACGCAAGTTGTTATACACATGTGATTGTGTAAATTACACCACCCCAACACCACGAATCATGTCCTCTATTCTATCATCCTAATCATTCATAATTGGCTCATTTTAGGACATACAAGTTGTTTCTTGCTTCCCATACCATATCTATCTTGTATACCTAAAATTTATCCCATCACAAATTAAATGCTCTTTTATTTCATCAATACCCAACTTAATCTTATTCATACAATTGACATAAGGATAAAAATACTTTCCATTTTTACTAGAAACATTTCTCCTAGCAAATTCAAGAAACTAGTCTACACTATTCTCATATTCCTCACTTGTTCTCCTAGCATTCGTCCAATTACGATCCATTCTATTTTACCTAATCAACCATCACAAAGTCCATCAAATTAGCAATTCTCTAACTTGCATGGATATGTTGAAGTTTAGAAAAATTTCGGTAGATTTTACCTTAAAAATGGGGCCTCTCCAAATATCAATAACAATAAATTAAACAATTTAACCAATCCAAATAATCAAATATGCTTAAATTTGAGCATAATATATGATGTATCACAAAATTTAAGCATATATCAAATAATCCAAATAATCACAAACTTTAAGCATATATCAAATAATCATATATCATGTATCATGCATTAGAAATAACATTTTCCAAAGCTAGGAAACTTAATTTTCTCAGAATCACCCAAATAAATTCACAATAATTTTTTAAATCTACGCATACATATACCTTAATTTTGTGATAACTTCAACAGAAATTAGCAAAGAATATCAAGATTCTAAAAGCACAAACAATTATTCTAAAAAAATAAATAAATCAAAGCAATAATAAAAAAATAAAGATGTGAATAGTAGAGATATCAATAAAAAAATTCTAATGGGATAAGCAATATAACAAAAATTATGGGTTAGAGCTAAAAGAAAAAAATATCCTGAGCAATAAAAAATATAATAAGAATTATTGTCTAGCAATAATATAAAAATATCATTCTAATAAATTTAAATTTAATATAATAAAATTATCGTCTAGCAATACAAAAAATTAATTTTGAATAGAAGAGATATCAGTAAAAAAAAGTTATAATGGGATAAGAAATATAATAAAAATTATGGGTTGGAGCTAAAAAAAAATTCCCTGGCCATTAAAAAAAATAATGGGATGAGCAAAAATTATGTTTTTAAAAAATTACCTAGGTGGAGAAGGCAACGATGAGCAAGGCGAAAGAGCTGAGGGTCACCAATAGATAATGCTGGCTGAGGTGAGCTATGGGCTAAAGGGATCTGAGCTATGGGTGCCACGAGCTTTGGGGAGAGACGAGCTATAGGTCACGATGAGGAGCTGAGCTTCAAGAGTTGAGCTATGGGTGTCGAGCTTGAGGGGAGATGAGCTATGGGTTTTACAAGACAAGAAAAGAGATGAGCTAAAGGGGGAGCTAAGCTTTAGGAGACAAGCTATGGGTGCCAAGCTTTAGGGGAGATGAACTATGGGTTTTACCAGATGAGGAAGGAAACGAACTGAAAGGGGAGCTGGGGTTTCATGAGATGAGGAAGATGAACTATAGGTTGCCGCCGATTTGAGAGCTGGAGGCTTCTGTTTCTGAGCTAGAGGTTTTTAGACTTTGAGATTCATGGGCAAGAGACAAAATAGAAAAGGAAGGAGGAAATTTAAATGCTCTTCCACATCTCTTTTAAAAAAAAAACAGAGACATGGAATCTTATCCATGTCTCTTTTTATAAAAAAGAGACATAGATATTACAACATTAAAAAAGAAGAAATTATTTCTTAGACAGACATGCTTATCCATGTCTCTTTTTCTAAAAAAAGAGACGTGGATGTTACAAGATTTTTCAAAAAAAATTAAAATTAAAAGAAATTAAGATTTTGAGCTGGAGCTGTAATTTCTACTGGATTATCCACATCTCTTTTTCTTAAAAAGAGACATGAATATTATGAGATTTTGAAAAAAAAAGCATATTAATAATATCACGTCACTTTTAATAAAAAAGTGACTTGATTAAGTTATCAATTTAATTAAAAAATTTTAAAAAATAAAATCTGCATCCTTTTTTTATAGGAAAATGACGTAGATATTAAAATTGATATTTTCTATTTAATCACTCAAATCCATGTCCCATTTTATCAAAAAAGTAATGTCTATTAGCTTAAATATTCAGTTTAAATATTTATCTTCCTTGCAAAAAGAATATTCTTTTTAACTCTCCCATTTTCCTTTTCTCTTTTTATTATAATAATTTTTATTCTAAAATTATTATTCTAATAATAATATTTTTTTAACTGTCAATCTGATTATTATTTTTTAAACTCAAATCCACGTCCCTTTTTACATAAAAAGCGACGTGGATTAGCTTCTAACTATTACAATTTTTAAAAATAAATTCCATGTCCTCTTTTATATAAAAGCGATGTAGATAATTTTAATTTTAAAATTTATTTTTAAAATTAATCACTCAAATCCATGTCCCATTTAGTCAAAAAAGGGATGTGGATAAGCTTAACATTATATTAAAATTTTTTAGTATAAAATCCATGTCCTTGTTTCATGAAAATTGATGTGGATTTTTTATATTATAAGTTTTTGGATTTTACTCATGTAATCCACGTCTATTTTTTTTAATAAAAGGGATGTTGATTATTTAAATACAAATTATTATAAACTATTAAATCCATGTCTATTTTAATAAAAAGAGATGTGGATTAGTTTCTACATCTATTTTTTAACAATAAGACATGTGAATTAGCATAATCTATTTTCAAATATCCACGTCCTAAATTAAAAAAATGGCATAAATATTATTTTTTATGTCACTTTTTATTAAAAGTGATGTGGATATTTCTAACCACTGAGAACTTATTATAGAATTGCCACCGCCTTTATTTTTTATATCACTTTATTAAAAAGTTATATAAATTTTGGTTTTTTTGTAGTAGTGGAGATAAATGTGAAGGCACATATGCAAACATGTGTATTGTATCCGTGAGTATACCTTAGATTAGGGTAGCGGTCGCAGCCCTACTCTGTACAAGTCTAGAAAGTCTTGATGATCTCGATCGTAGAGCTTGATTCCGCTAGGACAGACTTAGGAGATTCTGAAGATCTTGAGTATAGAGCTTGACTCCTCTATAATGGACCTAGGATATGAAATGATCCATGAGTATACCCTAGACTAAGGTAGGTGACCACCTATATGCAAAGAGGATACCTGATCTAAACAGTGGTATGGTGGGCCCTATTCCATGTGACCAAAGTCCTAATCTGAGCATAGAGATTTCTCCACCAGGTGGAACCAAAAATGCATTAGCATGAGCATGATGAGATTGATGAGAATGAATTCTTATATATGCATACTATACTGTTTTTATTGAAATACATGCTACTTTATCTCTTGTTTATGATTTTGCTTGCTAATCAGTAATTGGGTTACCTCTGAGTTACTGGGATGTATGTCTCACTCCATTACTTTTAAAAATAGGTGAAGAGAGCACAGGTAGGCTAAGAAAGGAAGCGAGGAAAGAGTAGCCTCGATTGGTTGTGGTATGACTACCATTTGTGTAAATGAATGTATAATAAGTTGTTATAGTTAAGTTGCCAACTAGGATGCATAAATGCGTGTGAAATGAATATATGAATGTATATGTGAATTATGGTAGAAAACTTGCTTATATATGTGTGATGTTGCATCTCGTCGAGGGTGCCGCTGTAACATCCTTCTCCTTTTAACCCATAATTAACTCTAAATCCCAAGTAAAAGGAAAATGGGATTAAGGTAGTTAACATAATACCGAGTTTTCAAATAATTAGAAAAGTTGAGATTCCCAAGTTTATAAAGCTAAAACCATTTTCAAAGTTTCCCAAATGGACAAATCAGAGACTTCAATTATGCAGAAGCATGAGATCATTTCTAGTATGAGTGCATTTGCTAAAGAGTGTGAAAACAAGAAAATTTCAAAAATTTTAGGGCATACGCCATGGCTCGTAGAATATTCGCCATGGCATGTTCGCCTTTGCGACATGCACTGTGGCTCATGGCACGATGTGCCACAACGCAATTGCACGGATTTTGATAGTGAATTCTACTGTTAATTAACTTTTGGGGAAAATTTTGACGTGCCTCAATTCTCCTCCGATGTTCGATTGACATGAACTAGGTTCTACGGAAAAGCTCTTTCTGAGTTCTAAATAATGGAATTGGTTGCATAAGCAAATTATTTTTCAATCAAAATTTAGATACTCTTTTTAAAACTTACACTTTTTCAACAATTTTCACAAAACCGAGTGTCCAATTCAATTTTAAAAAGCCATTAGCACTTAACACCCATTTGATCACATGCAAAATATCAAAACTAACTAATGTAATGCACCATATCATAGTAAACACTTATAAATCAGTTTTCCACTACTCAACCCCTAATTCTCAAAAACATACAAAGGGGAGTTTAAGCAATTTTTTATCAAATAATTCATAATCAACACATCATGTGCTCTACTGTTACTTACATTAGTATTTTGGCCCTATCACAAATATCACATACATCAACTCACTAAGGCCTAAAATACACTTACAACCAACAAACACATAATGCAAGTAAGAATAAAAAGTAGATAAAACCTAGTTGGCAATTTAAATTGTCAAATACACATAATGACTTCAAAAAAATAAAGAGGCATACTAAAGTAGGATTGCAGTCCTATGCCTCTAGGAGCTTTCCTCTTTCCGAACCTCTTGGGCTATTCCCTGTAATATTGAAGATATTGGGTGAGTACAACTGCTCAATGACTAAGGTCTAACTAACCCCTACTAATGCATGTTAATTAGCTTAAAAGCAAATGGCAAGTAATTTCAATTCTCCAAAACCAATGTAAAACATTGAGAGTATAAATTCAAACTTCTCAATATAATAACCCATACTTAGGAAATAAGGCTTTTCAATACTTTTCATATCCCAGAAAGCTTTTTACACAATACAATCACAAATACTCAGGAATAATTAAGACTCAATTCATGAATGTTCTCATTAGGGTCACAATATAAACAACCATATGCCTTTACTCACTATATGCATGATCACACCTCCTTTATATCCTCCTTATTCCTCTAACATGAAATCGTGGGCTATAACATAATGGGATAGTCTATAATCCATGACTTCTCTAGCCTAAACACTTGTGAGGGGATTACCCGGCCAAGGCACACCTAACTCACTTATGGAACATAGTTTTCCCATTTCTCACGCTATGAGGTGTCATACACCTTAAACTAGCTTCCTCATTGAACTAGTAGATAGCTGGCTAGGTTCGAGTCCCTTGTTGAACTAGTGGGACAGTCTCTTATTGAACAAGTGGGACAATATGGATATAACTAATTTGGGTAAGCCATTACTCGAAGGGGAGTCCTACCATATGAATTTAATTCTCTACTTCTCTTCTTAAGCGAACTCCCGCCTCTCATGATCATGCAATACATATTCATGCCACATTCACATTTAACAAAATTCATAAAACTCCACTAATTTACAAATCATTGAACTTCTTAAACATATTTTCATGAAACTTTAAATCACACAAGTCATTGAACTCCAATTCAAACAAATCATTGAACTTCAAATTTCAAAATCATCGTAACTCACACTTTCAAAATCATTGAACTCCATACATTTCTAAATCATTGAATTCCTATCAAATTAAATCATTGAACTCCTTAACTTAACTTTTCATTGAACTCCACAATACACAATTCATTAAACTTCCCAAATTCATAATCATTGAACTAAATGAAATTACCACTTCATAGTGGGTTTTTCAACAAACAAGCCACATTTTCAATTTTATCCATTTTCATACAATTCAATCATCCAATATTATTCAACAACCTAATTAACACATAAAAGTATAGGATATAATTTCCTTAGTTACCTCAAGCCTTTGAGAGGTCAAAGGTTTTACCCCTCAAATACTCACTCCCAAAGCTTTCAAGAAGCTTTAATGGTGCCAATGGTAGTCATTCTACAAGCATTTACTATGAAAATCATCAATATTAATATCCATATTTATGCTAAATTTTACTAATAACTCCACACTTCTTAATGCTCAAGATTCATTCTTGGCTCATATAAAAGTACCCCTTGAATTTCTTAGCTTCCTTTAATCCTCATTAATATCAATGAGCCCTTTAATGGTAATTAATGAGACCACATTATTCCCAACCATGACATTTATGGGAATTTTTGGACATTTAATGTCCTCCAACCTCCAATCAACTTATAATCATAAATACCAAGTTTACATAGCTCAATCTGCTTCCATTAATTTTATTTAAGTCAAAAGGTTCAAACCCATAGCCTCTATGGATCAAAAAACACCATTATCAATCAAACCCTAACTTCTACCATCAAAAATATGGAAGAAGAGAGAAAGATTTAAGTAAGAAAACTTACCTTTAATGTTTAGGAGCTCCAAAATACTCCCAATACTCGGTTTCTCCAAGCCCTAGCACAACTCTTTCACCTCACTCTAGGTTTCCTTTATTTTTTCCTCTATTTTCTACTTCATTTCGTGACTTATGACAGTAGAAATGTGACCATGCACCACAGCGGATGCACAATGCATCGTGGTGCATGGCACAAAGAGCCTCTTCTTAGGTGTGTTATCACACATGCATTGCGGTGGCTTATCCATAAGCTGTAGCACATGGCACAAAATCTGCCTTCTTAAAATTTCTTTCTCTTTCATCCTTGAGTGACCTGATTCTCCTTTGAACCTATGTTTAGGGCTAAAATTGAGACTAAACATGCCTGTTAGGCCTCTCTGGCCACACACCTCACTAATATACACTTAATTAATCTTATTGGCTTAGATAATTTGGTTTAAAATTAAGAATGTTATAATTCTCCCCTCCTTTTAAGAATTTTGTCCCCAAAATTGACATAATTACTTAAAACATGCCTCATGGAAATAGTTAGGGGTATAATTGCCTCATTTTCTCCTCAGTCTCCCACATAGCATCTCTGAGAGTCATTCCCTTCCATATCACCTTAACTAGGTGAATGGTCTTATTCCTTAACTGTTTCTCCTTCACATCAGCTATTCTCTCAAGCTTAGCTCGATAAGTCAGGTTCTCCCTTAGCTCAACCTCTTCAGGTTCAATAACGTGAGACGAGTCAGGTTGATACTTCTTCAATTGAAAGACATAAAACATGTCGTGCACACTCGTAAGATGAGGTGATAATGCAATCTAGTAGGCAAGTATCCCAATCAGTTTTAAGATCTTAAAGGGACAATAAAACATGGAGTCAACTTCTTAGCTTGAATTGATCTCCCAATGCCTGTCATCAGTGTGACTTTCCAAAAAATATGGTTGGCTACCTCAAATTCTAACGATTTCCTCTGTTTATCAGTATAGATTTTTTTATCAATTTTGAGTAGTCAATAACTTCTACTACAGCGCATTGTGTGCCATGCTATGACGCATGGCATAGAGAAGAGCAGAATTATAGCTTCGTACTACATGCTGCGATGTATAATGGTGTGACCTGTGGCACATGGCACTTTTCTAAGGGAAAGATGTTGTGCTTCATTGAGTCATAGTATTGTGTTTGTGCTTTTGTTAGCCCTCTTTTTGAACATATGTTTTCTGAAGTTGGGATCTTGCATTTTAAAAATGAATCGAGGGTCATTACTTTGATAATATATGATTGTTGTTTGTCATTATGTGATTGGGAATGGTAAAGTTTGTGTTAAGATGGGACATTATAAAAACTAGCTAGAAAGTAATACAAACTTAAGGTTTTCTCTTCCTCAAAGTAGCTCCTTCAAGAACCTAGCCTTGTATCTTCATGTGATCATAGGTTATGAAGTCGCCCAACCTTAGCAAGTCCTGATCCCTATGAAAGCTCATAGGTTATGTAGAGGAAGATAAGAGGAAGAGAATGATGTAACTTTTATAGAATTTAGATGGTTAGATTATGAGATATAGAGGAGAGAGAGTGAAAGTGTAGAGAGAGAAGTGAGAGAATTTGATGAACTTGAAAATAAAATCTAATAAAATAAGTAACTAATCTGAAAAATTAATCTAATGACCCCTAAAAATTTTTTGGCTAAAAACCCTAAGGTTATGACTTGCTAAACAAGTTGCCAAAAACTAAACACAAGTGATTAGGTCAAGTAAGGTTAAGGGTAGTCTAGGTTACAAGTCAACATGGGTGATAATTCCAATATTATTCTTCTCATCTCATATGTGAATGGACATGCTAAGCACTTATGTTCCCCTTAATTGCCTTGGAATTCATGCCTAATGTAATGCAAATTCATATATGAAATTAGTCTTCAAGCTTTTCAACCACATTGCAATTGGCTTAAGCTTTAACAAGTCAACTTGTTTCCTTGTGTGCAAGTGCATTGTAAACTCATGTGCTCCTCTTTAAACCCTTTGTTTCACACCATTTTGAAGCCCAAATCAGGCCTGATTCATGTGCTCAATGCTTCCTTCTTGTGCAAAACCAAGTCTTGAACACAAGCCTCCTCCATGTAAAGTATCACCTAAGACAATCAACATAAAATCTGACTAAGTTATTTTGCACATGTACTAAATATGAAAAGATTTAAACCTTAATATCTTAT